TCACAACTTCATAGCACATTGAATGGAGTTGGAGACTATCAGACTCAGTGATCTATCACAGCAACAAAGAATGGAATGCTACATGTTCTTACTCATAAGTGGGCTCTGAACAATAGACACATGAACATAAGAGAAGAATCAGCAGCTGCTGGGCACTTCCAGGGAAGGGAGGGAGAGTGGAGGATGGAGGACACGTGACAACACAAAGGGTACCTGGTCTATTACTGGGGGTGTGAGGGCCAGTTGGAAGCCCAAACTTCACCTGCATGCAACCTACTTATATAGTTAATTCTCACTTGTACCCCATATCTCTATAATAAAATTAAAAAAAAATAACTGTTCCCCAAACATGGGGCTCTATCTTCCAAGAGGACTGTGGGGGAACAGATTTGGAAGGTGTAGGTTACTGTGATCCCATCTTTGGGCCCCTATCTGGGAGATGGATGTGGAAGTGTCTGATCCTGAATATTTAGATAATGAAGAACAAAAGTTCCTTTAGTTACAATTAAAATTAGTATAATTAGAATGAGAGTTACTGCTTGTTTTCTATGTGACCTTGGGAAAATGCCTCACCCCTCTAAGCTTTGGTTTTCTGATCTATAGTTGCATTCAACTATTCAACAAATATTTATAGAGTGCCTACTATCTGCTAGGCTCAGTCCTTGGCATTAAGGAAACTTCATTGAATAAAATAAAGTTCTGCTCTCGTGGAATTTATATTCTATGTCAGAGACAACATTGCTTCATTTCAGTGTGATCAAGGAGAATGACATCCAGGACAAGTTCTTTGATATAGTGGTATATAATAGTGATATATAAAGACTCTCTTTGACTCATGGCCTTAAACAGAGTGATCTCCCAGCTGGTTTCTCTGTGTTGAGCTCCTTGAAAGGGCAATGCTAATTCGTTTCTGTCCAGTGTGTTCCAATGAAATGCACAAGTTATCACGAAGAAACCTCTCAAGCTTTGTGTCCTCAATGTCACCAATACATCTCCTAGTATAGAACTTATCACACATTACAGTTAATAGATGTTTAACTGTGTTTCCCTCCAACTAGAAAGCAATCCCATGAGGCCAGGGGTTATATCTTTCTTTTTTTATCATAATATTTTCAGTGACAAGCACAAATGTAGGTGCTAACAAATGGTGTTGAATGAATGAATGAATAAGAAGAAAAGAAAAACAAAAACTTTCAGTCCAAGTAATGTGCCATAATTATAGGTTGAAAGAATGATGTTCAATCAGAATAATGTGATTTTTGTATTGAGCGCTTACTGCATGCTTAGTACTTCCCTAAAGTACTCAGCACACAAAGGAATAAACCAGATATCATGTCTGCCTTTATATCTTACAATCTATAGTAAATAATAATCAAGAGTATATATGTATATACAGATATATTTATTTGTTTGCTAATTTTTTGTCCACATATATAATGTATATATTTACAACTTATGATGTAGGAGGCAAAGAAGGTATAGAGATAAGAAAAAAAGAGAGTGGGTCTGGGAGGAAAAGTACTTAGGTTGCCTGGAAGGCCTCTATGAGTAGATTAATATTTATGCTAGACCAATAGAATGAGTAGCCTGCCACATAAAAGGGTGGGAGCCAGAGTGGAACTGGGGCTTTACTGAATGTTCCAGGTTCAGGGAGCTGCATATGTGAAGGCTCAGATCAGAAGGAGTTGGCATGTTGGAGGAGCTGAGAGGGTGTTTGATTAGGAAATGTAGGCAGGAGCTAGATCAGGGATTAGAGGCTATGTAAAGGAATCAGGATTTTCTTCAAAGTAGAAAGAGATGTTATTGGAGCATTTCAATTAGTGGTGAGGAGAAGGGACAAGAGCTAAGAGGAAAGGGCAAAGGGAGGGAGTGTGTGGGCCTTCTCAGTTTTCACTGTATCTCTGAGCAGGGCCCAGGCCAAATATTAGGTTAAATAAAGTTCACACTGCTAAGAAGTTGCAAAGGAAGTATTAAGGTCTGTCTGATTTCAAAACCCATTGAAAGATTGTCCATTTAGAAATATCTTCTTGCAAGAGCACTCCCGTGGTGGTTGTAGAATCTAGAGTTTTTCCACCCCCCGATGAAGTTCAGGTCTGCCTGCACTCTGAATGGGAACTCCATCTGGACTAGTCAACTTCTCATTCTTCTCCTCCATCTCTTTGAAAAAAACAGCATGCATTTTTCCCCCCAACTATAAAATAGCATATGCTAATGCTAAAAACAGAATAAAAAAATATTTAAAATAAATGATAATGAGAAGCTCTGGTTATCCTACCAACAGTGATGATATTTTGTGAGACTTTTTAGTTTCCTGTTTTTATGTTTGGATTCTTCCTTTAATAAACCCAGCAGGTTGCCTCCTGATTCCTTCACTGTCTGCCTCACAGGGGTGTAAGCTAATATGCAAAAGCATATTGGAAGGGGCCGAGTGCAATTAAAACCCCAAGGGAGTGCTGTTTCTCTTTTGGCATCTTCCATTGGCTCTCTTGCCCCTAGAATGGGAGTGCAGGGAAGGGTGCTAAGCCAGGTCACTTCGTGTTGCTCTCTCCTGCTACTCCCTAACTCACTGTTTACACTTTAATAATATCGAACTGTGTATGGTTCCAAACATCCTCTATACAACCAACAAGTATTTCTAGGCAAGTATTTATTGCCAGGCCCTTCACTAGTTCTGGGTGCAGAGTAGTGAGCAACATCAAAAGAACAATTGTTGACGTCTTAGAGCTTGCGTTCTGGTGGATAATGATAATGAATGTTTATGCAGCTCGTACTCTATGCCAGCCACTCCTCCATGGGATGAATGTACATGATTCAACTCATTCAATTCTTAGTCAGTCCTATGAGGTAGGTCCTAGCATCATCCTCACTTTATAGATGAAGCAACTAAAGGCATGGAGAGGTTAAGCAGCTTGCCTAAGGTTACTCAATCGGTCTGTTTTTTCGCTGTGATGCACTTCTAGGTGGTGTTTTTTCAGGCAGTGTATTCTGTGGGACTGTTTCCCACAGCCCCAGATGGCACTACGTGTCCCTATTTTGTGCTGCTATAGTTTCCTAACATTTTCATGACCCTCACACCAAAACACTGTTTATCTGTTTAAATTATCTTCTATATCAGTGCTACCCTCCCAGACACAACGTGAGCCACAAACATAACTTTTAATTTTCTGATAGCCACATTAAAAAAGTAAAAAGAAACATGAAAAAATAATTTTAATAGTATATTTTATTTAATTTAATATATTAAAATATCATTTCAACATGTAATCAATATAAACAATCATTATTGAGATGATTTACAATTTTTTCCTATTAAAACTCTCAAATCTTATACATCTTAATTCAAATTAACCAAATTTCAAGTGTTCAGTAGCTACATGTGGTAAGTAGCTACCATGTTGGACAGCACACTGGATTTTATGTTCTCTGAGGATACTTACTGCACCGAGCTACTGCATCTTAATTAAGATATTAAATAAGATAACACTCTTAGAATTTGTTCCTAGTCCCTCGCATGTTGTAGGTCTCAGTATACATGTGTTGAACTGAGCTAACTTGAAATTCAGAACAATTCCGTGTCTTTTCCTTCTCACCTGCCCTGGAATATGGAACATGGAACTCTAAACCTTGTGCACTTGATTTAAAATTTAAAATCCAGTGAGTTCTAATTAGTGTCATAGGATCGCCATTCTCAATACAGCAAGGTGTCAGAATCACCTCATTTTAGAACTTTTCCTGACATTAGTTGTTTTTGTGAAGTGAAGACCTATGAGAGATAAGTCTTTTGTTCAAGCTCACATGGCAGAACTAAAAACTACATTCCTGCTCTTTACTCTTTAAGCCAATAATTTCCCCAATACTTCAGTACTTCTCAAACTTTTCTACTGCAAAACCATTCTGAGTGTTAGAGGTGAATATGTACTCACCCCACATCCTTACTCCCCATGAGATCAAGCACATAAGCCCAAGTGGCCAGCAGAGAGAATGTGGGTTCATATTCACTTCTGTGCCATGAACTATTCATGACTGGTTTCAAAGAATAACATTTAAAATTACCTTCCATTGAATAAAATATATTCTGGGGAGATGAGTCACATTTTTCTTTGGCTTCTTAAGGTATGGGTACAAATGTGGCTCAGTGATCTAAATTAAGGAGTGTAGTGCTAGAAATGGTGTCTGGGGGTGGGTGGGCAGTGAGGATGATAGAGTTACACTCCCCTCTCAACCTCCCAGAGGAAGAAGTGATGCTAGAAATGTAATGAATAATTCCCAAAAGTAAATTGTTGAAACAGAAATCACAGGTCTGTTGTGTTGTGATAGTATAAAAATAGTTTCATAAATCTGAAGATTTATTTAAATAAAAATATAGAGTCTATTCTGGAGAGATTGGCCAGCCATCTAGGAGGAAAAACAACTTCAATGTAGTAATTTCTAGCTGTGCCTGTTACTCTAAAAATATGTAAAGCCCTACATTTTGGAATAAGATAATGACCCAAGTATATGAGTTTTTTTTTCTTATAATATTGCTAGTTCTAAAGATATTTTACCTATGCAATTAAATTCCAAGGGTAAATATTTACACTGTGAGAGATGGAGACACTGTTTTCACTCAATTCACAGAGACATTCGGGGGTTGATTGCATCTTGAGTACCACCGACCATTGATAAGTCAGATTCTCATGGTCTGTCCTGCTTTAGATATCCTGAGGATGCTGCCCATGGAGGAGCAGCTAGAAATGGTGGAAAGAACACTGAATTAGGAGTCAGGGGATCCGTGGTCTTATCTTAGCTCCATTTTAATGGGTAGTCTAAGTTTAGGGAAGCAAATTTCTACCACTGGACCTCAGTACCCAAATCTCTAAAAAGAGCATAATAAATGTTTGATGATTTATCCAAAAGTTCTCTTACATCTCTGGCATTCTTTTATGGGCTATTATTTTTAACTCTTGGTGTGCCATCATGGTAGAGGAGAAACACATGCATCTCAGTCATCCATGCCTTACCTTTTATTGAAGCCAGTTTGGATATTGATATGCTGCCAACAAAATGAAAGAAACAATGATTTGGGGAGTTTAGGTATTGATATTGGCATTTATAGCAGAGAAATACAATGATTTAAAATTTTTTTCAGTAAATATTCTCTAAGCATTCTAATGGAGTAGCTATTTGTTTATCAAAATCCTTTTGCCCCTTGCCACATAGTAAAGAAGTGCCTGACCATGGCTGGCCAGCTAGCCCACATATTCCAGTCTTCCATGCAGTTTATATGACCATATGACTACGTTCCTTTAAATCGAAAAGGAGCACCTTCCATGTAAACTCCTTCACACTTGTTCCCATTTCCAGCTGACTAAGATGGAGATTATCAGGAAGTCTTTGGAAGTCACATGTTGACAATGGTAGAATCTCATCAGACTGAACCCCTGTGGCTGTAGGGAGTAAAACTGCCATAGATTAGGAACCCCTACTCTGGACTGTGACATGAAAAAAAAAACCAACTTCTTATTCTATAAAATGCTCAGGTTTTGATGTTTGTTTGTTCCAGCAGCTCAGCTTACCTACCTAAGGGTCTAGGTATTATGCTGGGGTGGAGATGCATGAGTGAATGATAGAGACATGTTCTTGCCCTCTTGGGCTAGTCTAGTGCGGAAGACAGTTATTAATCAGGCAAGTCAACAGAGTAATGGCAGGGCACATACAATAGCAGAGAGGAACTTAGTCTACAGTTGGAGTAATGGCATTTTTCCTGAGCTTAATGAACCAATAGTGAAGAGGGAGGAAGAGTGTTCCAAGCAGAAGGATCATAAGTGCTGAGGCCTTGATGTGGGAGAAATCATGGCATGACTGAAGAATTGAAGGAAGTACAGTGTGGCTGGAAACTAGAGAAAGAAGGAGATAATGGTGGAGGATGAGGCTGAAGTCAAGGGCCAGGCAAAGCCAGGGAATTCTGAGCCCAGGAGACCTTATAAGACATCCCAAATGCATCCCAAGGGCAATAGAAGGTATGTGATCAAATTTGCATTTTGGGAAATTATCTCACCTGCTGTATCAGAAAAGATTGGAAAGGGACAAGATTGGAGGAAGATGAATCTTATTCCCTTACAAACAGTAAATCAAAAATGGCTTGATTTTCAACCCCCAATGACTGGCGTGGTTTTAGAGAAAGGCAGTAAGATTGATAGAATTCAGTCATACCTTGAGAAACTCCTTAAAAGGAGTTGGGGGTTCAACATTTGGTTTTGGCCTTAACTAGTCAAGGAAGCATCACTTCATTTTTGTCAATTGTAACATTAGGAAGCTGGATATCTGTGGACTCTGTGATATCTGCACCAATCTTAACTCCTTCATAAGGTGAAATATATTTCAGTTTGCACAATGTGCACTTATGATGTGACATATATTCTTTTCTATTGTTATGATTGACTTTCTGTCTTTTCTGTTAGTCTGTGGGGCCTCTGAGAAGCAAGAGCTATGCAGTGTCTCTCCATATCTTTTACCTCTGGCCTAGCAGAGTGTCTAGCACTTGTTGGATGTCCAAGAAAAGGTTTTTGAAACTAAAGTCGGTTTCCTCAATGGAATTACAGGAGAAAGAACATTGTCCATTTATTAGACCTAACTTCACACATTTGCACAATGTAAAACAATGTCTCTGTTATGAATAATTTGAAAAAATATGTTATACAGTTAAAATCACTACCAATTTTGAAGTACAAATATTTATCAAAAGGCAATTAGCTGTATTGGTGTTAATTGCACCATCTTTTCAGTTTGCAGTCAAAGCTGCTAGTTTGTCCTCTTTGTTGTTCCAGTTCAATTTAAAGCCAGATTGGGTGAGTAACAGGCACCAAGTTGGCAATATCTTGACTATCAAACTGTTGACATGAACTCTTTGGACATACACTCGCAAGCTTAAATGAAACTTAATTAAGGAGATCCAAATGCCACTGAACTTTTGGGCATTTTCCTAGGTGCTAAGGTGGATGTTGGGGCTGCAGAACGATTGGGCTCCCTTTCCGAGTGGAGAGCTTTGTCCTGGGTACTGTGTGTATAGCCACCCATACTCTGGTCTTCTGACATGTGTTGGTCCTTCCTAAGCAACAGTCACTTGACCACTGTTACTATTGTCATTCACTCCATGACAACTATACACTAGCACATCTAGAAGAACTTTTCCCCAGTGTCATTATATTTAGACAATAAATCACTGATACAGCCAATACACATTTGAGTTCCTATTGTGGGTCAGGCACACAAGGTGTTGGAAAAACAAAAGTGCCAAAAATCAGACGTAGAGCCTGAATTCAGGGAGTTTTGTGGAAATGGAATTAATCAAGTTATTGGACAAAAAGTCACACCTGTGAACAATACTATGCAAGGGCAGATGTCATGAGATTGGTGACAGGGAGGTCATCCTTGGGAAAGTGATGCTTGATGATGAGTATAAATTAACTATGCACAAGGGCAAAGGATCAATATAGTAGTCAGAGGAAATAGCCTGTGCTAAGCCCTGTGGCAGGAGGGTGTGGTGATCAAAAGGGAATGAAAGAAGGCTGATGTGATTGAACCAAAGAGGCCAAGGGGGAGTATTTGTCCAGTTGAGGCTGAAGAGCAGGCACAGTGGCCAGGCCATGCAGGGGCTTGAAAGCCACAGAAGGGAATTTTTACTCTACGTTAAAAGAATAGGAAACCATTGTGAGTTTTAAGCAAGGAGGTTAATGAAGTGGAATTTAAATTTTGGAAAAATCAAGTGTACAGAGTAAATGTAGGGAGACTGGTAGGAAGGCTGTTTCCCTCACAATAGCTTAAAACCCTTTCTATAAAAATGGAAGGATGTATCAACTCAGTCAAATGAGTCAGGTTCAGGGAAGATGTGTCAAGTGATTGTGCAAGTTGGTGGTGAGCTGATGGGTGAGAAAAGATAGAAATCCCAAGAGAAGCTAAGAATAATCACTATTCAGGCTACACTTGGCTCCAGGGACACTGCTGTATTATTACTCCTTCATTGGTCACTATTCTACCACCGAATGATCATGCCACTCTTTCATGGCCTGCTTCTCTTCATGAGTTTTCTTTTTTCTCCTCCTTGTACCTCTTCATGAGTTTTTTTTGTTTTGAGTTAGAGTCTCACTCCTTTACCCAGGCTGGAGTGCAGTAGCACGCTCACAGCCACCTCAGCGTTGACCTGCTGGGCTCCAGTGATCCTTCCTCCTCAGTCTTCCAAGTAGCTGGAACTACAAGCATGCACTACCAAGCCTGGCTAAATTTTTACCTGTTGTAGAGACAAGGTCTCACCAAGTTGCCCAGGCTGGTCTCAAACCCATGGGCTCAGGCAGTCTACTTGCTTCAGCCTCCTAAAGTGCTGGGATTACAGGCTGAGCCACCAAGCCTGGCCCTCTACATTAATTTATTCAACATTTTTCATTGACAGTTGGGATAGGAAAAGAGTTTGTCTGGTCTCACTAATTGCCATTGTCCATACTGGTGAGAGTTTTCGTGCCAACCCACCCTGTAGGTTGTCAGCCACCCTACGTAATTATCACCTGTGGTCAGGTGTTGACCCTGAGCCAAATCTCACTGTTCAAGTAAAAACCTAGAGCTGATTTCACAGAAGGGAGTTCTGGGTATGTTTCTTAGAATCTGAATTTTTAACAAACACTCCGGGTGATTCTTATGTGGACTGTACTGGGGAGCTGTTGGTAATGGTTAAAAAAGACTCTGGAGTAGAAAGATTTGGGTTTGGATTAAAAACTTTCTAGTTGTGTTACCTGGGATAAAATCCTTAAAATGACTGTCTGCTTTTTCATCTGTAAAATAATACTTTCCTTATAGAGTTATTGTCAAAGCTGGATGACTTTATGATTTGAAGCACTCAACATGGGGAGGAATCAGTAAGTAATAGTCTTAGAGAAGACGATGTTAGAGATGATTACATTAGAGACACTCACGAGAATTACTCAGTGGACAGGGTTAGGAAACTAAACACAGATGTTGAGACACCCAGATTAGCAACAATGGGAAGCTGTTACCACTCTTAGTCCTGAGGGGGAAGGAGAGGAAATATGGAGTCTAGTGAGAGCTGGATTCTTGGAGCAGGGGCCACTTGACAGAAGCTGTGGTTGGAGGGAGGCAGCCACTCTTGGAAATGCAGGCAAGGACCGAAAGTGAGTGGGGAAGAAATACTCCATGCTTTGATCACCAGCCTATGCCTCCCATTGGCTAAACTAATCAGGAAGCCAGCAACAAGAGAGTTGGAGTGACGGGTCTGTAGGAATCAGCCTCCTGGGGTGTAGAGGAGGGCAGAGAATAGAATGGGAAGGAGAGGTGATAGCATGATGATGATGATGATGATTGGTAATAATAGTGATAGGAGCAGAATGCTAGGAATCTGAGATTTCTTATCCTCTTCTGCTAGGATTGAATTAAAGCTGGCATGCTCAGAAAGCTACTGCAATTTTTACAGTTTAGGTGATAATGCACGATTTTTTTCTACATCAGAGTCACATACTATCATGAAGCATTTAAGTGTTTACACACAGTGTCAAACAATCTGAGAGAAACATTATAAAAACATTCCTCAGTTAACCTGGCTTTTTGGTGATGTGAGTGTACTGAATAGGTATCAGTTTAGGGAAAGGAAATGTGTTGATGGCAACAGGGGTTTGAAAAATGACTCCTTTGACAAGCGCACAAGACCACCTACCCGGAAGTCTTAACAGTAGGGCTCTTGTCTGGCCACTCAGCAGGCTGCAGGCAGTATAAGATTAGCACAATATTAATGGTGCTTGAGCTTTGGTATGCTGTTGGAGAAAAAAATTGCCATCACAGAGATAAGTGTTTTTTACTAGGTTTGCTCTCATACTTGGGTTCACTGGCTTGCTTCCTATTCAGCAAAAATTAAATAGCAGCAATACGAGTGAGAGTCCGAGAGCCCTGCCCTTGATGGTTTGACTTGTGCCTTTTTCCCTGGTGCTAAGTTATTTACTGAGGGTTCTGGAAGATCAGCACTTCATGAATTGTGATTTGGGGAATCTTAAAACCACTGGAATGAATGCAGAAAATTTTATGTGTGTGTGCATTTTTCTGGCTGAAAGAAATACTAGATGCTCCAAGCGGTCAATAATCACTGAAGAGTCATTGCTAGAGGCAAATTCCACCAGGCTGGTCACGATATTGCCTTTTTGAAAAGAACCACTCCTCTCTCCAGTCTCACCCCAAGAGGGACAGTGTGCAAACCCTTAATTTCTTGCTTTGTTAACATTATTGTTAAAATTTATGCATTGAGTTACGGGTATTGTACTAGGTGTTTGATGTATTTTGTTTTATTCTCAACAACCATTAAAAATAAGAATTGTCATCGTTTACAAATGATGAAATTGAAGCTTAAAGGAGTTATTTGTCTAAAAGTCTGTAACTAATAAATGGATGAGCCTAGATTCAAACCTAAGGCTATGGTGTTTCAAATATACTGCTTTTTGTATTACACAATTTTGCCTCTTACTGCACTATTTGGTCATTAAAATTAGAACTGCAGTTATTGTTTCCTAAACTGACAAATCACAACTCTATAAATCTTGTAAGAAATCTGACCAGAATTTTTCTAGCCCAAATTAACCTCTTCTCCCTCTCAACATCCCCAAAGCATATTTTACTTCTATTTAGCACCTCTGATCATCTGCTTTATTTTTATAATTAGTTGTTATTTGCCCTCTTGCCTCACTAGATTGAGAGCATTAATAATAATAATAAAAGTAATACATAACATTGATTTAAAACCTCCCAAGTGCCAGACATTGCACGATGCACTTCACACGCATCTCTCATTAAGTTCTTAGAACGCTCATTTGGTAGGCACTATTATTATTGTTTGTATTTTGCAGATACCTTAGACAGATTAGGAGAATTGGACATGCCCAAGTACACACAATTGATAAGACTTGGACCAAGAATCAAGCACTTAACTATTATTTCCTCATCAAGAGTCTTGCCTTAATCATCTTTGTATCTTCTGCTCAGTGCTTAGCATCATAAAATGTTTATGAAATTGGACATTTGTTGAACACAGTGTGATCCAGAATCTAGAGTATGATAGCCACTGGGGCAGTTGGCTTATGTCTGGTACTATAATATGCACAGTGTCCAGTACTCTCTCTCTGCTGTCAGAGTAACTTGAGGATGAAATGGAATCCCCATGAAGAGGGTGCCATGCCCACTAAAGGAAGAGATAACAAGAGATGCCAATAACAGTACCCACATTTAGGGAAGTCCATTGCATTTATGTCATTATCTAAGTTGCCTGCACATATTGTATAGTCAGGTCCTTACCTATATCTCTTCCTTACTCTGTAAGTTTCACATCCACAGTCTGCTGATCCCTCCCTATATGTTGATGCTGTTGCTGTCTTATAGTGGTGTGCATTGGAATGGTTTTGTCTTGACAAAGGGGACTTGCCATTAAACTCCTGAACAAGCACACCACCACAGAGGAGTAGAGATTCAGACATCATGGAAATAGTACATAGCAGAAATAGGCCCTCCCATGTTACATATTTTATGTAACTTGTTTTAGTGCTTTGTTTATTTTTAATAAAACAGCTCATTTGGATTTGCTACCCAAAGCAGGCACAGGAGTCCAAGCCTGTGAACACAAAGCAGAGGTTCCACTTGCCAGGCATATTCTCTGTCTTTGGTTGGGCCTTGGTGAAGTTGCCAGCAGATGGCCTAAAGCATTTAAATGCCTGTCTGATGTAGTGGAAATTCAATTTATGAATAAAGATGTTCAACATTTTATTGACCTGAGTTTTAATTATCTTACAATGCAATGAGAGAAAAAGCGAGAACCTTTAATTTTCCATTGGTAACTGCCATTATGCAGACCTTTCTGATGCTTGTTTGAGAGGGAGGAGGAACTGGCTCCAATGATCACTGAAGCAGTTTGGGGTCTCTCTCATGAATAAAACATGCCATGTAATTGCAGTGACAGCCAACACACCCATATATGTAGAATCAATGCTTATTATCCCATCAATTAAGACAGAAAATTAAACAAGATTTTAAGCTTT